CGCGTTCGTAGGGATTATTGTATGTACGTGTATGCGGACATCTCTAAATGATTTTTTACACAGTCAAATTAATATGGGCAGGTAAATCACGGGCTAACTTAGGACTCTGATAAGTGTCATACGTCCGGTACGAAGACACGGCAACTCCGAATATTTTTTTTGTGACAAGCTTAGTCACGTGAGGATATCAACATTGTGCTTTAGTTTATATTTTGATAGAAACTTGGCGTGTGTCACTGGAATTTGTCATCTTACGTGACTATTGTCATAAAAAAAAGGTCAGGTATGTGTGACACCTATCATTATTACAATATATTCATGCCAGGTTGCAACCCGCGAACAAATACGACCTAAAATCGGAATGGCATTGCGTTGCTCAACTTTATTAGAAAGGAAGGAAATCGACTTATAGCCTTGTACCGAAATATAAAAGGGCTAGCTTAATAACCTGGTAACACACGTGAAAGAACTAAGCCAGTCCATTTGTTGATATAGGTATAAAGATATACTACAACATGCGTATGCATGCCACACCTCATGCCAAGGTTGCATCTAGCTAAGCTAGCAACGGGTGGTTGTACGCGACCTGCAGCTACACGAGTTGGGCACAAACCGATGAAGGGACGCGCCACCGGCCGGCGAGCACGACCACTTCGTTCCGGGGCATCGTCGGCCCACACTTATCCCCGAGATGGTGTCGCCACGCATATGCACCCCCGCAGTCCGCTCGGACACCACTGACCACTGTGCGTGAGTACGCATGGTATGGGCTCCAAGCCTCCAACCTCCAAGCCGCGTGTGAAAGCGAGACCCGTACCCTAGAAAGGAACCGAATTGACCTGCATGCACAGCGACCGCGCACCGGCAGTCGGCCCGAGTGCAACCCGCAACCCACCGCCTTTCCCCTCTGCCCGCGCCCGCACCCGAGCCGCGCCGCGCGGTCACCACGCTTCACGCGCACACCACCGCCACCGTCCGTCCACGAGAATCCGGCGACGATCGAGCGGTTAGAGGGAGGCCGGCTTGCAGGGGGCGTACGAGTGAAGCTAGCCAGCTACCAACGAATTATAATCAAGTCTGAGATTCCAGGGGCCATTAGTGGAGGTAGTAATCATCAATTAGTGGCCTGATTTGACGCGTGAGACGGAGAGCTTACCGAACGCGCGCCCAACCGACGGATACTTTGGTACGAATCAGCAAAAGCTACTGTACTAGCTATAGCTCCATCATCATGCATTTTGCATTGCATGCATGGGTACACGCCGCTTTATCTGATTAGCTCGTTTGTTAGTTAATCTTGTTCCTCTCTTTTCTGGTAGGTCTGTGTCCTACTTTTTCGCCCAGCATTTTGGCCCCCGACTCCTCGCCTTCACCCGGAAAAGAATAAGCACCACTGAATCAGTGGCCACTTTGTCTGGTTGCTTCATTGGTCCATTTGTTAGTTAGTTTTGTACTGCTACATGTTCCTCTCTTGTGTGGTACTACCCCTCTCTCTCAGTTTACAGGGCGTGCACGTACCCCTAGGTCGTCAATTTAACCAACTTAATACAAGTCATATATTACAAAAAATATACCAACATAAATTTCGGAGTTTCTACTTTCAAAAGGTATAATTTTTGTGTTATATAGTTTATATTAGGGTGATAAAATTGGCAACCTAGGTATAAGCGCAGGACTTGTAAACTGAAACGGAGGTAGTACTACGAATGTGTCATAGACTTATTGTTTCGCTCAACATTTCGGCCGAACATCTGGCCTTCACTCGAAAAAGGATGAGCACTAGTGAATCAGTGGTAAGGACAGCACGGCGGCGCTGTGCAGGTACAGTCAAATTCTCATGGGTTTAGATGTCTCGCTTTCTTGCTTTTTTGAGCTAACGTGGTTCGGCTTAATCGATTATTTAACATTTCTTATTCAACATCACACTTTACCGGATAACTTTGAACAAATAAAACCATTTGATATTTCATCCATGAACTTGTCGACTAGTGTGGATTGGCCCCTCAACTTCGAAACCAAACAAGTGCACACTCAACGGTTATGGTATCGGACAAATGCAATTTGGATAAATAAAACAATATGTAATGTCAAATATGTGTTTTGGACAACATGCGGAAGAAGAACTTCAATGTTCATGTGCCACCCGTGACTGAAGAAAGAGCTGACATGTGGGCCAACCCGTAAGATAGGGAAAAAGTGTCGATCAAGGTTAAGCACCACACACAAAAAAAGGTTAAGCACCGTGCCATGTCATCAAAGAAATCACTTCCATTCCCAAGAGGGACCAAATTTGCGCGGTATCAAAAGTAGAGGGTACAAATTGTTCGTTTTAACGTTGATGAACCAAATCCTCACTAGTCGATAAGTTGCTGTGGGGCAAAAAAAATATTTATATCCTTGAAATTTGATCCATTTAAATACATTGGGTGGATAAATAAAATTATATTTACCCACAATAAATAATGCCAAATGTGTGTTTTGAAAAATGAAGGTTGCGTTGCGTGCATTATATGATGGCCGACATGCAGGTTCATCGTCCTTTTCGGAAAAAGAAAAGTGTTTTGGAGAACACAACACATCGACAAGTTTAAAAGAAAAGGAGTGACTAGCAACCAGCTACAATGATCCCTTCCAATAAAACAACCTAAGAACGATGAGGATTCAATTTGATAGTATTTCAGGGGAAAACATTGCATTTATTGGTACATGCCACTTCATCTGATTAGTCCATTTGTTAGTTAATCGTGTTCCTCTTTTGTGGTACATAGGTGTCCGAAGAAGTTATTTTTCCTGTCACAATCAACATTTTGGCCGAACACCTGGCCCTCACTCAAAAAAAGGACGAGCACAAGTGAATCAGTGATAAGCTGAGCATTCAACACGTGTGGGTAAGGACAGCACCGCAGCACTGTGCACATACGGTCAATTCACATGGGTTCTGATATCCCGTTTTCTTTTTTTGAGTCAACCCATCAACGTTTCCTTTTCCACCCCATGTTTTACTGTTTGGTTAAACAAATGATAAAATGATTTGACATTTTCTCCGTAAAACCGTTGACCAATATAGATTTAGTCCCTCAACTTTAAAATCGGACAACCACGTCTACAATTTTTCATGTTCGACAAGTTTTTTCTCCGCTAAGCCGAAGCAGTATCCATGATGAGGAGTGGGTCGCAGGGATCGAGCCACAACGACAACGGGGTGAACTCGTCATCGCAACACTTGTACGTGGGCAGGTAACGGGCATGATGCGGTGCTACGGGTTACCGGCATGGTGTCAGCGCCCCTGACGATGAAGCCCCACAGGCAGATGCGGCCCAGCTTGGACAGCCGCGGCCTAACCGCGCCCGCAAGCCCAACAGCAGATACCTCGGCCCTGAATGGGAGGCGGCCAAGCCTAGGACTACCACCACTACTTAAGCGCATCTCACTCACAAGCGAGGGCATCCAGTGGATCACCGAACCCGGCGGCGGCGGCTACCTTACCCTAGTTCATCTCGCAAGAACAATCCATTCGTTTGATCTGTACCAGCTACTACTTTGGAGAGTTGTAATAGATCAATTCTACCACCCCTTTCTATATCCTGTACCTCACATCTGGTATCAGAGACCACCACCACCTCTTCCTTGCGTTCGATCTGGCGCAGTTCATCCACACCCGGAGCTTGCATCTGGCCAGGCAACAACTCGCCGCCATGGATCTGGCCATCAAGGCGTTTTTGGACAAGCTCGACGCCACCCTGGAGGCGAACATGGCGGCTAGCAAGGTGACCAACGCCAAGATCGATGATCTGCTCTCTTGGCGCCTCGATCTGGAGCGTCGGGTCGCGGATCTGAGCGACACGGTGGCGGTCCTCCAACAGGCGTGGCCCGCACCACAGAAGGACGGCGACGACAACCACTCAGGCACCGATCCTCTGCAGCAGCCTGCGACGCTCGGAGCCATCCCTGACTCCGCAGCTGGCACGGCGGATCTTCACCATGGGTCCGATGACCGTGGCGTTGCAAATCAACAACGGGAGCCGCCAGCGGCGTCTTTCATGACCCCGCCGCCGCTCCCGAACAACGGTTAGCTCGCTCACAGTCCCCACTTTACTATTTCTTCGCCATTCACGCATGCTAGCCAACTGCTCACGGGGCTGGGTCAGGCGCACCCTTCCATCGTGTTCCCAGTGTTCGCTGGGGACAACCCACGCCTCTGAAAGGTCTTGTGCGAGCAATACTTTGACATGTTTGGCATACACCAGTCATTTTGGATACCCATGGCCTCGCTCAGTTTCTCAGCGGCAGCGTCAGTGTGGTTGCAAACTATCTAGAAAAGATTATCACAGTTTGATTGGGAGTCCCAGCGTACCCCATGGATGTGCTCTTCGCTCCATAGCGCCCGCCACTGCGAAACAGTGAAGGGTGGAGCAAAGTAAGTGGAAAGAGAAAGAAATCAAGGGCGACCAAGTTACTGCTGCTAACTAGACCCCCAAAAAAGGTTTTAGGGTTAGTAAAACAGAAAAAAGAGTTGCCGGGTGGGCCCAACAGGTAAGTGAGACAAAGAGTATGAGCCAGAAAAATCCGCTAGGATACGTCAGCATGAATAAGTGCCAGTCAAGGTTAAATAATGATAAAAGAAGGGTCTCCCTCGGTATCGAAAATTTTGACAGTATTTCAGGTGAAAACATCTCTTGCGTTTATGTTGGTATCGAAAATTGAATATCCAAGACATCGCCCCTCTCCTCTCGGCAACGCAGCAAACTACACCCGCAGAGCAGAGCACCATACCCACCCCTGCCCAGATCCGAAGGAAAGTTTCGCGCTCCACCCGACAGAACCGTTTGCGCGGTGGGGGCCGACGGCCATAGCGTAGCGTGCACACCGCACGGTGGCAGTATAAAGCTGCACCTGCACCTGCACCCAGACCGCACAGCACCAACACCACCGCACAGCACTCCACTGGTGCGGTACAGAGGAGGCAAGCAGAGGAGCACCGTGCGCACGAGCTGCCGGCATGGCGAGGCCGTCCCTCTCCCTCCACCTCTGCCTGGCCGTCCTGGCCCTGGCCGCCGCCGCGTCCGAGGCCGGGTTCTACGACCAGTTCGACGTGGTCGGCTCCGGCAGCAACGTGCGCGTGAACGACGACGGCCTGGCCCAGCAGGTGGCGCTCACGCTCGACCAGGGCAACGGCGGCTCCGGCTTCAGCTCCAAGGACAAGTACCTCTACGGCGAGTTCAGCGTCCAGATGAAGCTCATCGGCGGCAACTCCGCCGGCACCGTCACCTCCTTCTACGTGAGTTCCATCTCTCCTTTTCTTTTCTTTTCTTTTCAGAGGAGCAAGGGATCGAAGCTTCGACCATGGTCTGACTGTGGTTGACTCGCAAATAGCTGACGTCCGGGGAGGGCGACGGGCACGACGAGATCGACATCGAGTTCATGGGCAACCTCAGCGGCGACCCCTACGTGATGAACACCAACGTGTGGGCCAGCGGCGACGGCAAGAAGGAGCACCAGTTCTACCTCTGGTTCGACCCCACCGCCGACTTCCACACCTACAAGATCGTCTGGAACCCCAAGAACATCATGTACGCCTCCGCATCCATCTTGCATCCAAGGCCAAGCTCCATGTTCAATCGCTCTATTGATCTAACGAATTACCTGCCACGGATCGATTGAACCAGATTCCAGGTGGACGACGTGCCGGTGAGGACGTTCAAGAAGTACGACGACCTGCCGTACCCGAGCAGCCAGCCGATGACGGTGCACGCCACGCTCTGGGACGGCAGCTACTGGGCCACCCGCCACGGCGACGTCAAGATCGACTGGACCCAGGCGCCCTTCGTCGTCAACTACCGCGGCTACTCCTCCAACGGCTGCGTCAGCAACGGCGGCTCCTCGGCCTGCCCCGCCGGCAGCGACGCGTGGATGAACACGGAGCTCGACGGCAAGGCCCTCGGCACCGTCGCCTGGGCCGAGAGCAAGTACATGTCCTACGACTACTGCACCGACGGCTGGCGCTTCCCCAACGGCTTCCCCGCCGAGTGCAACCGCAACTGATCCATGGATCCAGCGTCAATTCCTTCCTTCCATCCTTGTTCTTGTTCTTGTTTGTCCATTCGATTCGAGACGGACACACGTTACTGCCATTTGGCTCGTTTCCCATGTACATTTTTTAACCATGGATTTGAAGATTGTTACAGTGGAGTTACAGTTACTGTTACAGAGAGAATTAAGGTGGGTTCTTGTGATTTTCTCTGCCTGGAGAGAAAGAGTACGAGTGCACATGTGATCAATCGGTTATGTATGAAGTGAACGAACCATAATAAATTATAAATAATCATTGCATCTCTTTTTCTTTTCTTTTGAGACTGAAATTCTGTATATCTCTCTGAGATATTGTTTTGGATTCTGTTCTGTGAACATGTTCGTTTTCGGAGCTATCCGTCTGGCTAGATCCTTGTGAGTTTGAATTGTCACCGTGTGACGCAAGCAGACAAGTCACAGCTGCGTGCTTCGCTGTTCAGCTGGCTTCAGTCGCTCACATTGAACGGCCTGATTTACTTTGCTCTGCTATGTTCAAGATGGTGACTATGTATTTCACGTCAGTAAACTGGAGTGCATCTTGACCTGGCTGAAATTTGAATCAAAATACACTGCTGATGAAAGAGAGAAAAGGAGGGGGCCTGAGTTCCTGGCAAGAACAAGGAGGCATTCAAATTTAGAACTATAGTATCTATAAACATATGTTAATTAGAATACCCAAAGCTTATGAAAATCTAAAATCATTTTTCCTTTTGTTAATTATTATAAGGGGAAACTTGTAGGGCTAATTTCCGTTTTAGTATTGGTTCTCTACAAAGCACATGTAGATCTTATGATTTGAGTTGGCAAAGGAAAGAAATCGAAAGGCATCACTTGTGGTCTGAATACGGAGTATATCAATCCTCTCTTTTGCCCTATGGCATTTGTTGCAATGTGACCAGAGACACTCTTTTGTTAATTATTATTATAAGGCGAAATTTGTAGGACTAGCTACAGCTTTAGGATTGGTTCTCTACAAAATTCATGTAGAACTTATGATTTGAGTTGCCGGATGAAAAAAATTCATTCCTATTCCATCAATTT